CTAGGAAGAGGCGTGTACTACAGAGTATATAGCTAGAGCCTGCGGCCCTCCACGCCACATACCCTTCGGGAGGTCTGCCGCAAGGGCGGCCGCGCCCTTGCCGCCATGGCGTTAAATATTAAACAAACAAACAAACAAACATTGTGGTGCAGTTTCAGCGACCAGAGACACAGACCCCGTTGTTGAGGCTTCGAAACCAATGTTCTAGCGCAGCCAAGTGTTTGCGAGAACAAGCTAGCATTCCGTGATTAGTCCGCATATCTTTGTCTTGCTAAAGCTATATACGCGGTCCAAATGATTTCCCAGGCAAGCTTGCCGGTCAGAGCAACCTCGCTTTGAACAGAGATATGCGTAACATCAGGATACTCTGAAGCTCCATGCTCAACTTTTATTTAAATAGCAAGGGCAGTTTTAAGAATCAATCAAAAACATACCTGGGAGCCGAGCCGCAGCAAATTCAACGCCCCGTCCTATAGGTGGGGCTGTGCATCCAAGACAGTTAGAGTTGCTCAGCCTCCCACATACACTGATGGGTATGATGGGGCTGTGATGTGTCAATTGAGCCCTACTTTTCATCAGGACTAGCCACATCAAGGGCCTTGGAAGTTCCTCTTGTCATTGTATCTGGGGCCTCGTGATCCTTGCACCGGATAGCCCCTGTCCAGCTGTCTAGTGGTCCAAGCTGCACTACGGAGCTAAAACTCATGTCAACTCGTCTGTCTACCAAGCGCTCGTATCGTTTGGCCAATCAGGTGTCTAGACGATAACGAATACGGTGACCTCTACACAACTCCTATTGTCAACAAGCGGAATTCTCCGAATGGCATCCAGATGAGAGTTTGTGGGCTGATGTCAAACTTCGGTTATCTGATGCGGGCAAGTTCTCAATTGCTATTTAACTTGGAGTGTTTCCTGGTGATAATGCAGTTGCTGTTTCATACGCCATTCGTTTTGCAAATCATAACCCTCGTTCCATTCATCTAGTCATTCCATATGTTGCACTCAGTCGCTATTATTCTGCTATACGCCGCTACTGCGCGTGCCCAAGTCAAGATTCCGGAGGAAAATCCCATTGTACGAATCGACCTCAACGCCACCGCGGATCTGGAGCCCGACTCATCTGCAACTATCATCAACGTTGATGATGCTGTGGACGGAACTCTGGAGGCAACTGCTTGGTCTTTGATCGTAAGACACGACACGCCTCTAACATGTGGGCTTAGCTAACGCATCAATAAGTTCACTGCCGCCCCGGTTTCCCAGACTGCCATTCTCGGGATCCTTTCGCAATCATCACCAGCTAATCAGTACTTGCACACGCGAGAGTTTCCAACCCCTGAGACAAACTCTATCGTGGCAGTCAATGTCGATGTTCTTTACTCGTTTGGAGTGCTCGATCTATCTGAAGCAGACGTTCTTCTGGGTGTACCCGAGTTTGATGACCGTTACTGGAGCTATCTCATCTGGGACTTGTAAGTCTGCTGGGAAGGTTTGGTTTCCTGAATCGGGTGGTTGCTAACGGGTTCACTTCAGCTATGGAAACGCAATCGCAGAAATAAGCAATGTAAATGGAAACACCGCCGGAACTTATCGTCTCAAGCGCGACGCCGTAAGTGAAGTAGGCCTTGCGAATGGTAACCTTATCAATATTTCGACCGCATACGCCTCTGTCGCTATCCGCATTGGCATCAATTCCAACACGACGGAAGAATTAGACCGGCTCCATTCACTTCAAGATGCTTCCACGGTCGGAACGACTGATCTCTCGGCGGAGACCACTGTGCCGTCTTTTGCAAAACTCATCACACCTAACATCACCAATCCCCAGAGTGTGCTTCAGTTTGCCGCCAGCTTGTTGCCTTACAACCCTCCCCAGACTGTCTCAGACCGAGAACGTGTGAACACCATTCTCGCACAAGCAGGCATTGGAAACGGAACTTATACTGCCAACCCAGACGTCGATATTTTAAACGCTGCGTCCATCGCACGCTACTCCATCGAAGCGGACTTGGCCGACCCAGCGCACATCGTACAGTTGGGTAATAACTGGACAGTACCCATTCCCTCCTACCAAGGCAATTACGGAACACATTATGCTGCACAAGCTGCCTCTGGTATTGGGTATCTCCAGACCCAGAAGCTTGCACTCCTGCCTAATCACCCGATGCTTAGCGGAACCATTGATTTCTCTACTCAGTCCATGATTATCACCTTCTTTGGAAAGCCAGGCGTGACGAGTCCGGGCTTTTGGAACATTGGCTCTTACGATGCGTTGCTCAGACTTGTACCGAATGGCATCAGTCGGTACAGCATCGGATCCAAGACCTCGACTTTGCAGTACCTTGAAGGTGGTCAGGTATATGGGCCGACTGCGGCGGGCGGCCAAGATGAAACATTTCAAGTTCTCTTGCAGAGTGCGGACATTCCACCCCCGGCCAATTGGACTGGAAATTGGTTACCTGTTGCCAACAACGCATCTCTCACTGGTAAGACTTCATATCCCATCGATTATGATTCCTTGTTTGACCGTATTCTAGTCCGCATGTACTGGCCGGAAATTTCATTGACTGATGGATCTTACGTCTGGCCTGAGATTGAAAGCTTGAATCCTATCATGGCTTGACCCTCAGACCTTGTTCGAGATCTTACCTAATTTACGGGAAATGCCACATGAACATCACCTAGATGAAGCCCTAGGTTCACTGGGATCGACGTCAGCTGTGTTTCCTTTTTTTTCCTTTTTTTCGTTCCTTTACCCGCTGGAGTTGAGGCCTGCATGGGACTTGATTATTAAAATCAAGCCTGATGTCACTCCAAACACGTTTCGTCGCAAACGACATTTTCAATATCTCAACCTAGGGTAGACAAGCCGGCCGATATTTCCTGCCAAGAAGTCGTGGTGTCGTTGAGACATTGCCTGTTTTCTATGTAGTACAAATGGCCATGAGCCCAGACATTCGCAGTCTTGCTCCAGTACTCGAGGCGTGAAACTTGATATCCACAACCAGTGTCCAGCTATTTGGCCCAACACAACTAGCAACACATTCTGCGGAATTAGAGTAGTAATACACCCCCTCTTAGCAAATTCGCCCTTGATCAAGGCCCCAGCTATCATTGGGATATTGAATACAACACTACGTGACGGCTTGGCGTGTTCACCAAGGGCAGCTGAAGCAAGGGTACCGCAGGGTCCTCGACAATCATATTCAGATCTGACAATGGAACGCATCCGTAATGTTTCGACGCCAGAACGTCACATTGACCCAAAGTTCGGGGCAAGAAACAAAACGACGTGCGATGCGACGCTGGGTGTAATTTTAGTCTGTTGGTTTCAACTACCTGGAGGACTCCATTGCCAAGGATGGTCATGTCGGGGCATGGGTGCAATGTGGGCCGGGAAGCTCGCCGAAATGATGCAGCACGTGGGTGACTAGGTCTGCGATGGATCTCATTCAAACGAAACATCTCATTGGACCGTGAAAAGCCTCAAAATCGGTTCCTTCATAGTCATTCTGGGCCAAATACGTGTTTGGCAGTGTATTGGGACTTATACCATGAGACCAGGTGGTGTCCAAAATAGACGTGTGTTCGCAGTTGTCACAAAATCTACACATTGGCAAGATATCGAAACCTGGTTTCAAGACAATCATGATGTGGTATCATTCGTACCATACTCGGTACTTCTCATTCCATTCGCTAAAATCACTTCCGCTCGCTTATGCTAGATAACTTTTCCTGGGGTGACCTGCACAAACCCCAACCCATAGATTACATCATTATGTACGGTTATGCAGAATCCTCAAGAGGCTTCTGGTCGACGTGGTCTGCCTTGTCGTTGGGCTTCTCGCTCTCGAACTCCTGGGGCATCGCGACAGGGCGGTTCTTGGCGAAGCGAACGGTAGCGAAGACGGAAGGAGACTCGCGGAAGAGCAGGTCGATCTCCTCCAAGTTGCGGCCCATGGTCTCGGGGTACAGGAAGTAAACGGAGACGGGGATGCAAGCAGAGATGACAGCGTAAACGATGTAGTACTGGTAGCCGATGGTGTTGAGGGCGACAGGGGTAACCATGACGACGATGAAGTTCCTGAGACAACGCGTTAGTTGATGGATCTTTTGTGATCGATTTGAGTCGGGTGCAACTTACCAGAGCCAGTGGTTGGCGGTGGAGATGGATGACATGGCCATGCGGAGACGGATGGGAGCAACCTCAGTGCAGTACAGGAAGTTGGCACCCAAGAAACCGATAGGCACGAAAGTGTTGAACAGGTAGATGAAGCAGCCGGCGGCAATCTGAGCGGCGGTGTTGTCCTTGGGGAAAGAAGTGGTGATGGCCAGAGACATCATGCAGAGCGCCATACCAACACCGCTGAGAATGAAGACGACACGGCGACCGAAGCGATCGATGGTGAAGAAGGCAACGAAGGAAGACAGGAACTTCCAGGTGAGGGCACCACCGGCCAAAGCGCGCGAAGCCTCGCTCTTCATGCCAAGGTTCTGCTGGAACAGGATAGGCGCGTAGACGGAGACCAAGTTGGAGCCAGACATCTGCTGATAGAACTGGAGGAGGATGCAGAGACCGAAGCGGTAGAGGAGCTTATCATCACCCATCTTGAGCATGTCGGTAAGCTTGGCAGCGTTCTGGGTGGTCTCCTCGAGGGAGTGCTCAATGCCAGCAACCTCGGCCTGGACTTCGAGGGAGTCCTCCTCAAGTCCACGGAGGGCAGCGATGATGGTACGGGCCTCCGCGGACTTCTGCTTCATGACGAGCCAACGAGGCGACTCAGGCAGGAAGTAGATGCTGCCCATCAGGATCAGGGAGAACAGAATGGCAATGGCGATAGGGGCGCGCCAGGTAATGGGGCCAGTCTTGAACTCCCAGAAACCGAGGTTGATCCAGCTCTCCAGGACGTAGCCAACACAGGTGAAGAGACCAGTAAGGACGACATGGCGACCACGGTTCTTGGCGCCAGAAGTCTCAGACTGCCAGACAGGAACGATGGAGGACAGCTGACCGATAGCGAGACCAACGATAATACGGCCGACGATGAGCTGGGCGAGGGAGAAGGCGGAGCACTCGAGAACCTCGCCGATGAGAGAGCAGAGACCTGCAAAGAAGATGACGTTGCGGCGGCCAAACTTGTCGCCAGACCAAGAGCAGGACAGGGAGCCAATAAGAGCGCCAATAGTGAAGGTAGCGACAACGAAGCCCTGAAGGGTGGAGTTCTTGTTCTTGGTTGCGCCAGTGGTGTTAACGGTGTCGATCTCGGGGAACGTCTTGACCCAATCCTCGGTAGTGAGCAGACCACCAAGGCCGGCCTGGTTGTAACCGAAGAGGATGAAAGACGGGCACACAATCAGCGCGAGCTGAAGTATGGTCAGGCCATTGCCTGTGAGGCCGAAGAATGATGCGCCCATTGTCGACGGCTGGTGTTGTGTATGCACGGAGGTTGCCCGAACTCTAGTGAAAGGGAAAGGGAAGTACAGCCGGTGTATAGACGAGAGGGCAACAGACGGTCGTCGAGGGTTGGATAGAGAGCCGATGAACAGACCGCGTCGAGGGCGAGAGACGGGCGTCTCTCTTAAAGAATTTCAGCGAGAGCGAGCGCGTTCATCTCATACCGACCCTTGTGGGGTGAGTTGCGGAGACCCCGCGGGATTCTGGCCGCAAAGCCAGATTCATAATCCAAAGCAGCTTACTTCTCCGTGTGTAAGGGAACCCGCCCCAAGGGCTGGCCAGTGCCCGGTGTGGAGGGCCGAAAGATGGAGAAACGTTGAGGAGGAGAAGCCTGAGGTAGAAGGTCCGGAGGCTGGAGGGCTGGAAGGGGCTGCCAGAGGAGAGAGAGGCTCCTGGGAGCGGGCCAGTGTCGTCAATGCCGAACGCGCGCCGTTCCCAAGTGTTGTGTGTGACCGGGTGAGTCGGCCAGGGCTAAGGGCGGAAGTCGACCGAGAGAGGGCGGAGAGGGCCACACCCTTCCCGTCTGCGTAACGGCGATAGCTTCATCAGGTCTCCTTCGTGGAGACGCTCAGACGATTTGTCGTTCCACCCATTCGTCGCCTCGTTCGCAATTGCTCCTCCTGGGTTCCGCCCGCTTGCGTTTAATCCCTCTCGCCGTTACTCACAGCTGCGGAGTCGGCAATTGGGGCGGGCGGGATAAGGGGTCGCAGCCGCGGGCGGTCGGTGGCCAAACTACCTTACCTTTACCTACGGATAGATCCAATCGTACGAGCCTCAATGCAGGCTTTCATGTTTATTCGGATGCACTGGATGATTCGGTGAAGGAAACACAGTCGCAGTCGTCCCCACAGCGCGGCATACCGCGCTTCCGCATCAGATGAAATGTCGTTGAAAGCTGTCACTCAGCACAGAGACAACGCCATGGAATGCGGCGAAAAACAAGCACAGCCAAGACGGCAGGTAGCGGTCGCCAAGGCCCGAAGGTAGGCCAAGAGGCGCCCTAAGGTCCGATATCACTCATATCAGTGGATTGTCGAATTGTGCACGACCGGGCAGAGAACCCCCACGTCACGAACACATGGCTGACTCGCGAAGCACGCCAACGGGGATAACGGCGTAAGCCAAATGACGACTGCTATCCCGTCTGGAACAGCGACAATGACAGCGGCATAACGTATAAAAGAGATGGCACGTCCCCTTCCTTGGAAAACTCTGAGCAGTGACCTCATTCCGTTTGGGCGGTAGCCAAAAGCATTTAAGTCTCAGAGGCGCCCTCGTGTTCATCCGCCCAAAGGGACACCCCTGGTGGGTTGCAACAGGCGCGACGAAAGAGCCGATCGGCTTCGTTTTCAGGTTTGACCGTTCGCCCCTTTCGCGGCTGGCATTCCCCGATGTAGCTTGTGCCTTTAGCAAAGCGGCACTTGGGATTGGACTGGCCCTGCATGCGAGATTCGGGATTCCACCCGCCCCAGCCTGAGGACTTTGCAGCCTTCGGAGGATTACCGAGCCCACCCTGGCATACGGTGATGATCCATCCAAAGCAAAAATCTTCATGTTCACGCTGCCTCAACAAGGAGCAGCCAAGAATGAAAACCTTGAAACGCGGAATCCTTCTCATTCTTCTGAGAAATTCGACGTGACAATAAACGATGTGTCAATTTCCAACCAAGGTCCCACCTTGTGCTCAATGTTTCTAAGAGTTATGACCAAGACTTTTCGAGGGAGGCTTGGGGGAAAACCCGCAACGCGCCCAGAAACTTTCTTCAATCTTCGTGTGCCAACTTCGCGACTTCTTCAGCATCTACTCCAACTTTGCGCCCGTCTTCTCCTCACTCTCCGCAATCCCCAGCTTCTCGACGTCGCGATGCTTCTTCTCCACGGTCACAAACCCGCAATGCGCAAGAGCGCGGGGGATGGGTCCTGGTCTTGTAACGAAAAGGTCAGCGAATCATCGGATGGCGTGCGGTTCGGGATGGTTTTCTAGTGCAACTCACTTTCCGTCTAGTTTTCGTGCTGCCCACTTGTCCACGGCCAGGAACGCGAACAACATGGCGACATACACAGGCATCCCCGCGGGGTAATCGCCCTCCCACATGCAGAGCGGGTGAGAAATCACAGTCGAAGCCGTAAACCGAGCCCCGTACGTTCTGAAACCTTGGAAAACGGTCCCGTACTCGTTGAACCATCGCACCCAAACGAAAGCGTTCATCACTTTGATGCCAGCGCGATGCCAGTGCGCGGACCCATATGTGTACCCTGCGAAGGTAGCGATCGCCTGTTGGAACGCCATCGCCTTGAAAGCAGCCTTCAGAACGGGCACATTTCCTTCTCGGACGTAGCCAGACAGCTGCACGCCAGTGGCTGTGAACCCGAGACTGAATGCGAGGTCGAGCAGGGTTGGAACCGGAGAGTCTCCGAGAGCCAAGTAAAGGTAATAGTAACGGATCATGGCGAGAGTTCCACAGGTCAGGTGAGCGAGCAAGGGAATAAACGGATACTTCATATGCTTGACAATCTTTCTATTCGATGCCCGCCTCCAAGATGGCACGAGGTACCGTAGCCACCAGCTGGTCGTGAAGAGGATTTCTAGGAAGATGTGGTGCTCGGCGTACAGCTGTTGCATACTCTCCCAGTAGAAGTTGACCATGTCCATGGTGGGTCCAGCAAGTTCAATTCCTGGCAAGCTGGTGTTGTTGTTACGCATGCTGAAAGAGCTGAAAACGCCGGCAAATAGACTCGACGAATCTAATGCAATGTTTCAAAGAGACTAGGAAAGATTGTCTTTTGACAGCAGGGACCAGCCTGCACCATGGCGGCTTTATATTTCTTTCGTCCCAACCATTGAAATGCGGAGTGGCACGGCCATTTACCCCGGACACAGACAGTTTATTCGAAAATCTGCGCCCGTCGTTGGCTCGCATGACGTCTTGAAACGCGAAAGCCTTAGTGCTGATATTTGTCGCCGTGAGGATGTTATTGCTGACCGTTGGAGACTTTTGTGTGGCCAATGATCCAGACTAGAAAACGCCATGTACCTCATTTTCAGTCATCAACGCGCGGTTTTGCCTATCTACTCTGCACTTGGCTTGCTGTCTGGCACTTCGGCGAACTTGGCATAGGAACTTTGGACGAAAGCTATGCAGCCCACGCCCAATTCGGACAAAACAAGTACAAGTAGCCTGGCTTGGAAAAGCATGGACGGGAGGGCAGAACTTCTTGCCTGATAGTTGAGCGTCGCCCTCAGGGTCGGATAATCATTCCGCCAATTCTATCGACCGAGTGCTGTCGTGTTCATGTCGTTGATCCTGGACTTCCAGCCTATGCAGGAAGAATCTGTTGCGGTAGGTGGTTCAGGTTAACTTTCCTAATCGAGAAACCTTGCCAATCAGATGCAGCTGCATTGTAATTGGTGAGCTGTGTGTTTGATGTGCTGTCCGATTCTATCCGGTGAGCAGTCTGTATGATTTGCTCATTAACGCTTCGAAGGCAGATTCAGTCAATCATCCGCCGGCACGTAACGGTTGAGGCGGCATTGTCATGTTAGCGATAATTGTGACGGGTTCCCAATTTTGTGGCGAAGAGATGTTTCGGTGACTTGCCGACTCATCCCGTCCGTCCAGTTTCACACATTATGGGAAATCTCGATTGGTCCTTTCACGCGCAACTAGAATTGCTGGGTGTCATTTGCCTGGTGTAGATGAAAAGAATGCAGTTCGATGGTAGCATTACCTGGGACAAACTGCAGATCTGCTTTATCGGAGCTTGCATCAGCAAAGTGTTGCCCGAGGGATAGCCAAATTTGTGTGAATGCTTGCTCACTGCCCAGGGACTAGAGCCGACCAGGTTCGATCACCGTTATCCGGTCGAACTGGCTTTTTGCGTACAAAGGTTTGGCGATCCGACATTCGTCTTAGAGTACATCCACGGAAATGCAACAATGACATCGGTCGACACATGTACTGCCAAGCCCCGACGAGTTCTCCTGCGACAACTCTATCTGCTGCCAAGGCTCCTCAGCCACGCCTTTTACCTCGGTCAATAGGCCGATAAATAGTAAACCGTTCAAGCGCCAGCCTCATACCTTTCCGTTGTGACATAGGGTCAGATGTGGCTGTCCTAGGGGTGTTTCCTAGGCTGGGAGAGCCATTCGAGCGCGGATAGACTATCTCAAGTTCAATGAGAAGAGCTTACAAGACAGAGGCAACGATGGAAATGTCAGGTTGACGAATTATGAGTGATTGTTCATAAATAAAGAGAAGTAAAAATGTGGTATTGAATTAAACTGCTCGCAGAGTCAACGCTGGCTCGCTTGCTCGAATCAAAGTAATAAAACGACTGGCTACCACCCACCCCTCTAACCAACTCCATGTATCATGGTCCAACACATGAATATTTCCATTCTGCTCAATTAACAAGAAAGACCTCCCATCCCAAGCCACAAGTGATCAACTACCAAGCTGTCTTCGCAAAGACGCTGTCCGGCCATCTCCTAACGGCATACTTTCTTGTCTCGTCAATGAGTAGAATACCCAGACCAAAGGTCATCGGCAAGAACCAGTACTCGACCGGAACAATCGCCGTACCGAGAGTGCTTTGGAACTCAGGCACGTACAGCCAGAAGAATACCATAACCAGCGCAAACAAAACGGCAGGAAATAGGTACCAGTTCTGCGTGCGCTTGTTTCCGATGGGTGGGTGCTGGAACAACGACAAGCGTCTAGTTCTCACAGCGAGCAAGTTAAACCATTGCATGACAACCAAGTTGACGAAGTAGATCGAACTTGCGACGTTGAGCTTTTGCTGGTAGAAGTCTGGGTCAATGTTCGATGGCAGATTACCGAAAGAGAACCAGATGTCGGTGAACTTGATGCCGTTGCGCTCCAGGTACCAGTATGACATGGCAAAACTTGCCAATGTCTCGAGGACGCCAACCAGACCATACGCCTGGACTACAAGCTGCCAGTCGACAAGGCGATCCTTTCCAGGCACACGGGGCTTGCGAAGCAAGACGTCAGCCTCAGGCGCTTCGTAGGCCATTGCAATGGCGGCAGCAGCGTCGGTGAAAAGACAGATGATAATCATGAGGAAACTGCTGAGGATCTGAGGAATGCCAAAGAGAACGTTCGTCATGACAGGCCAGAATTCCGAGAAGGAACCCGCAGGCAGAAGGTACGCGACTGTCTTCTTGAGGTTGTCGAACATCATGCGACCGTAGCGAAGAGCCTCGACAACGCTGGAAAAGGAGTCGAGAAGAACCATGTCCGCAGCCTCAATAGCAATGTCGCTACCAGAGCCGAGTGCAATGCCAACATCAGCCGCGCGGAGGGACGGTGCGTCGTTGACACCGTCGCCGGTCATTCCGACAATCTGGTGGCGTGCTTGGAGCTCACGGACGATGCGAAGCTTCTGCTCAGGCGTTGTGCGAGCGAAGACGATCTCTTGGTATTGAGCGAGTTGGTCCCACTGGTCATCGTTGAGGGTCATCAGCTCGGGACCAGACAGTACGAGTGCTTGACGAGGCGAGGATTCGAGGTCGTCGATGTGCCCCTTGAGAGAAGGATCGACGGTGGTATTGCGCTGCAGAGCGGAAATGTCGTCGATTTGGGAGCGAGGGACGCTGATGATGTTACACTCGGCAGCGATGGCTTGGGCTGTAAGGGCAAAGTCTCCAGTAACCTGAACAACATTAGCATCGAAGCCGGCTCAGAAACACAAGGCGTAGCTTACCATGAAAATACGGATACCGGCACCTCGGAGAGTGTTCATGACTTCGGGGATCTCGGGACGGGGAGGATCGACGATGCCAACAATACCGACGAGCGTGAGACCTGCCTTGGCCTGGTTGTTGATCTCCATCTCATACGCGCTGTCGGAGGGGTTGCTTGGAAGAGCTGATCTGGAAATGGCCTTGCGAGCAAGAAGCAGGACTCTGCGGCCTTGGGCAGACCACTCATCCTTGATCTTTTCGATGGAGGCACGCGTCGCGGGATCGAGGGAAGTGGTGTATCCTGAAGGACTAACATAGTTGCTCAGTCTACTCATCAGGATCTCCGGGGCACCCTTGATTGTCAAAAGACTGAAACAGAAAGTCAGTACATCTTATTCGTCTGGCTCGGTTTTGCTGGGTCAACTTACACGTCACCAGGTTGAAAGACTGAGGCAGTGTCCGAGGGCAGAGCAAGGGATAATCCATCAGGATGAGAGAGACCAAGCGCGCGAATCATGTACTTGTTCTTGCTGTTGAAGGCAAGTTCGTACTTCGTAGACCAGCAACGCTTGAGCTCAGCCACCTGTCCCAGACTCTCGGAGAAGCGAAGAATAGCCTGGTCTGTAGCGTCACCATGAATGACCCGTTCGTGGAGAGGGAGGCGCATGGTGGCGGCATCGAACTGTCCGGCATTGCATAGACCGGCGATAGCACGGAGCTGGTCCAGAGCATTGTTATTAGGAGCTGAGTGCTTGTTGATCGCCAAAGTGTCCCGGGCTGACTGGGCCGTCATCTTGTTCGTTCCGATGGCGCATTCGGTAACAATCATTTTGTTCTATGACGGAGTCTATTAGCATACAGCTCATTTCAACGAAGCACCACCATAGTCTTACCTGAGTCAGGGTACCAGTTTTGTCGGAACAGATGATAGAGACCGAGCCAAGAGTCTCGACAGTCTTGAGAGACTTGCAGAGGATCTTGTTCTTGCGCATCATGTTGGCGCTGATGGTCATACTGGCGGTTAAAGCCACAGGTAAACCCTCAGGGATGAAAGCTACCGCAACAGACACGCAAGAGATGATCAAGTTGGGCACGTTGATCCAGTTGGGGTATACCCGCCTCAACCAAGCAGCCCTGCGCGATTTATTAGCGAAACGAAGTCAGCCATCGTCGTGCTGCAACTGTACTTACCAGACGATCAAGACCAAAACAATCATGAGGAACATGATGGAGCAGATGATGAGCACAAAGTGGAGGACTTCACGTTCCAGCGTGGTGAGTCCCTTCTTGGGCTCATTGGTCAGCTTCGCGATGCGGCCAAAGATGGTGTTATCACCCGTGGCCACGACCACACCAGTGCAGGTGCCCGAGACGCAGTGCGTGCCCTGGAGACCGATGCATCGCGTTTCGAGATAGTTGTTATCGGTAGAGTCGACTGCAGCGGGGAGAGGAACCGATTCACCTGTTTTCATTCTTTTCGTTAGCGAACTGCATAACCCGATTGTCAGCCCACAAAACAGCATTGAAGACGTACCAGTCAGGATAGCTCTGTCAAACTTGGCATCCGATGACACCTTGAGAAAGCGCACATCAGCAGGCAATTTGTTACCACTCTTGATGATCAGAATGTCTCCGGGCACAATCTGGTCAGCGAGAAGCTCGACCTGATTGCTGTCGCGGATGACCATGCAGTTGTCTGGAAGCATGGTCTTGATAGAGTTCATGACTCTCGATGAGGACCAGTCTTGCCACATGTTGAACGCAGCCTGGATGAAGAACACAGCCAGTAACACAATGGCCAACGCCAAGTTGGCAACGGCCGGTGGGCTACCCAGGGGCTTCCATGCGATGAATACCAAGATGGACGCCACCAGCAAGACGGTACCAAAGCCTTTGAAGAAGTATCCGAAGATTCTCTTCGTGTTATGGGAAGGGGGTGGCGAGGGCGCATTCTTGCCGTAGTGAGCCTGGCGACGTGTAATCTGATCCGGAGAGAGGCCATCGGTGAGGGAAGAAGACAGGCGACGAAGGATCTCTTCAACGGAGATAGTGTGCCATTCGAGTTCCGAAAGGTCTATAGAGAGACGCGATGGTTAGTTCTGCAACATTGCACAATCACTCAACAAAACTGTTCTGGGTGTTCAAACGAACCTGTTGCGACATTTTTGGCCTTCTTCACCGCCTCGGACTTGGACTTGTATTCCTCAATCTCAATAGACCTTTTCTGCAATCAGCACTAGGCCGATGAAGATGGTTGCGCGTTTGTTTGTTTGTTTTGTTTTGACTTGGAAAGGGATCAGTTAGATGGGGGAACCGCGCTTACACCGTGCGGTACTGGATGGGCAGCTCAGCAGCAACATCGATCGAATTACGTCTGGACCGGACAGAGTGTATCGACATGGAAGTGTTTGATCGAGCATGATGCAGAGTAGCAGGGTCAGGATTTGATCGATGGGCCTTCCTGCCGGCCTCCTCGTCTGCGTCCCAACGGATGCGTTCGCCGCCGCCCTGAACTGGGCTCTTGAGCTCAGTCTCGTTCATTGCTCTTGGTTGCGAATTTTCCTCGATACAAGACGGGGGTCTCTGGGGAGAATGCACAAGGCAACACTGGTTCTCGGGACGAGTTGAGAGAGGTGCGAGATCCAAAGGAGGAAGGAGAGGGAGGAGGAGGGAGAATGTGAGAAGTGAGAGCGAGCTTGAGAGCAGATCTGCACTGCAACGCCCTTACTTTCAACGCTGGCAGGGTCTTATATACACTTGGACGGTGTCAGGGCTGATGGCAGGAAGGGACCGTCTTAACAATATCTATCATGGGTCTTGGCAACATTCTGACTGCCCCGATATTTACGAGAGACACCAGCGCAAAAGCCAGACAGACTTTGGCGAGGAAAGGGCTGGGGGCCTTGGTTGCGCGTGGCGGAGATTGCGGCATCCGCACATCATCACATGGCATGAGCTGGGACGCTTTGCTTGACTTGGGATCGACTTACTTGGGATGGTAAGTAAGAGGTAATGGAAATCCCAAGCAAAGCAACTTGAACGAGATTTGGGAGGGGTGACCACGGGGCTACGGCGCGGCTATTTTTTACCTCGCTCTCAAAGGTTCTCTGACACCGGGAGACTGGATGGAAGAGGAATGGATGGATGGGGGTGCGCGAGATCAAACGGGCAACTCCAGCCCAGAGGGAGCCTGCTGCACCATAGCCCAAAGATTAAAAAGAGGATGCCGTGCCAAAAAGGATAAACGAGTTAAGAGATGACAACGACGTGCGAAGATGGATGGAGGTCGACTTGGGAGTTGTATCTACGGCGCCAAGGGGCGGTGAAATGGCACAGCGAGGACACAGCAAGTCCAACGTGTGCGCCGTACTGTGGGCGACAGAGCGAGCGCGGGATGCTTTATTCTGCCTCACATTTCCAAGGGGGGGAAGGGCAGAGCAGACAGAGTCAGTTGCTGCTGGCTCCTTGGTGCTAGCTAAGCCAGGCCGGGAGTAGAAAGCCGGCTTGCTGTTTTGAAATGAGAAGCAGCGTGTCACAGAAAACAACGTTGCTTGCGTGCGGCCGCAAGAAGGAGGCTCGGTTGGCGCTGCTGGAAGGGGCCAGAAAGGCAGTAATGCACAGTTGAATAAATCGCTCATAGACTGGCGCTGGCTGGTGATGCGAAATTACACAAAGTTGAAGTCGTTGGAGCTGGATATCCAAGTATCTCTTGGCGCAAAGGAGGCTCTCCTGTGACTTGCCAGTGACAACCAATCAAGGTTTTGGCGCATCCTGCCCCGTGCTTTTTTATTTTTGCTTTATTTCTTTTTGGCCTGCCCTTGCTGCCTCTTGGCTTCTCCTTGAGTCCTGGCTGTGGTGGCTCTTTGGTCGCCCACGCTTCTTCTGCCCTAAGCTATGCGGTAAGAAGCATGGGTGTGTGTACCCCAACTCGTCAACTGCCTAGGTAACGGACGGGTGGAGGTGGGTGTAGAGTCCACTTGGGGTTCGGGCCTTGGCCCTGTGTCTTGTTTTCTGCTACTGCTGCCGGTTGATGAAAGCGGATGACACAAGAGAGAGAGAGAGAGCGCGCGTGTGAGAGAGGACGGCGGGAGTGAGACTGAAAGCGTGTGTGAGGAAGAGAGATTCCGTAGCTCCCCTTACCCTCATCCACCTCTCTGTACGCCCTAGGGTCGTTCACCCCCCTCCCTCCGGTCCTTCACCTCCTAGCTGCCTCCCACTCTCCAGCCCTGCATCCATCCAGTCTGCATTCAAGGTCCTTTTCAAGCTTGCATTTCGATGGATCAAGCTCCTGCTGCTAGACGAGACGGGTCGAGAGAGAGAGAGAGATCTGGGTTGGGGGTCTCACGGTCTCACTGACCTCTTGCGTCCCTGCCGCCGCTGCATGTCACCGCCAGAGTCAAGGGCAGAAAAAAAAAGGCAAGAAAAAGACGACGGCTCTGGTTGGTCAGCACTGCCACAATTTTGTTTCTCTTCCCCAAATCCGTCATCCAACTCCAGCGGCGGCCAGTCCCTCGTTCCCAAGAGCTCTGTCATTCTCACTGAGATTTGGGCGCGTGCAAGTTACGATGCAGATGTGGAGAGAGGCAGGAGACACATCAAGCTGCCTGTGTCTCGGTTTGCTGCAATGAGTTAGCACCGTCATCCGGGATTTCCCACTTCGAAGTCTTGCTAAGGCTCACGAATTGCATCCCACAATCTGCTGGCTTGTTGGCTCCGCTGCTGACTCCCCCAGATGCCAATGGTTCATGGCATCCATCGCATGTCAAATCTCCTCGACATGTTATTGCCTATCGCAGAGAATCTGAATATTGCGGTCAGCAACTAACTAAGCTGTCCGATCCGTACCAGCCAACGCTCTTTTGTCCTATTCTCATTGTTCCCTAAATAAACAGCACCAGCTCCCGCCTCCTCTAATTCTCTTTGTGCTGTCGGCACCGAATATTCCCATCACCGCCTCTTCCCCAAGCAATCCAGACTCGCGCGGCCACCGCTCATTGAAGATTGCACCTCACCCGACTTAGATGGCAGACGTCCGGCGGACGATGGGCATGGATCGCAGTCTCGCAGCCCATCCCGCTTGCTCGGCTCTGCTAGCCCGTTCGCCGCTTCGAATCGGCGCCTGCTCCCGCTCACACCTCTTGCTTGCTTGCATCCTTCATCAGCCTGCTTGTTGCTCCTGTCCCCTCCCAAAATCCAGTCTAAGTGATTCAAGGCATCTTACCACGCCGTACTTGTGATTAACGCTCTTCAGCATGGCCGGTAACAAAACGTCAATGGCCCTCTCCCAATTGGCTCCCACTTATACGTACTCTCACTGCCACAATTCCCCTCATCTTCAAGCTGGATTCTATTGCCTCAACCTAGGCCATTTCAATGGAAAGAGCAGCAGCGCATGCAAGTGGAAGTGCAAAGTGCTGCATCAGCTCCAATCAATCCAAATCACCTCCGCCAGCCAGTCTCTCGGCCGGGGGAACGAACGAACGAACGAACCCACCTTGCCTGTCGGACATACAGCCCTGACGCATACCACCCGGTCGTCTCCCCGCCCAGGGCAGGGCGCCAGCAGCAACCACAGCCGGCAATTGAACGTCCCAGTCTCTCTTCTGCAGTGCCTCCTTCATGACAATGTGTGAGCCTTTTTCTGCACACACGCACTTTCCCACTCCCACTCTCTCCCACTCGCAAGCAAGCGTCGTTTGAAGTTGAACGACGTTCCGCCCAGAAAAACTAGTGCCGATCTCATCACGCGGTCACTGGGTGGTAGGCGGCCTCCTGGGCTCGCACCCCGGTTCCTGTTCGTTCGCTAGCCTACTCCACGATTGCCCTTGTTCCCCCAACGGCAGCAACAGCTTCAGGCCTCGGGGAGGGTCCTGCACTGCACCCTAAAGTCCCGCATGCCCAGACCGACAACACCTCTTGCGACGAAGGGGGAGGAGGGAGGAAGCTGCCGGATGGACCTGGACGTGGGTAGGGGTAGGTAGGGTTTTTTTTCCCTGACCCCATCTACAAAGTTCTCTATACACGATGAGATTGATTGACGAGCAGGAGAGGAGGAGGGAGATGGCAGACGAGGGACCAATGCTCGCGTGCAGTGCAGAGAGGGGACGGACCCGAGAGGATGAATGCTCCCCTCCCGCCCAGCCGGCCAGTCGCCTAATTCCCTGCTGACACCCTGCCTAGGGCCCTAGACGGACGTGGACAGAAGCTGCCCGTCCCGATACATGCCATACCCGCGCAGACAGGCACAGGCCCAGGTAGCTAGCTGGGCGGTATTGGCACTGCTATGCGCTGCAATGGAAGAGCAGCAGCGCAATGCGTTGCTGCTGACTCTGATTCTGACTCTCCCTTTCTTAGGTACCTTACCTCACCTTACCCCAAACACACGTCCTGGGCTGCGCGTCCGCTGTCGTGTGTAGTTTGCGTACCTAGTCTGCCAATGCTGGCGCAGCATCAGCCAGCCAACATCAATGTGCAGAACTGGAGCTTCCAGACCCGCGAGGAGAAGGTGCTGTCACGTCTGTCAGGAACGAGCTGCAGAAAGCAGAGCGGGAAAATGTACGAATACGTCTATGAGGGGCGTTGGTGCTGCTCCTCTTCCCAATTCAACACCGGCGTACGCCCGCACACACGCCGCGGGCCACGCACACCGTCACTCAATCCCTCACACACTCACTCGGTCACTCTGCTACTCTGCAAGACAAATACAGTATTCGTACAGTCAGTCCTGGTCGTCAGTACGTAGTCGCTAGCTGATCATTACTAAGGCAAAAAGTCAGTCAGTCGGTCCCCCATTTCCTTTGATGACTTTTCAAAGGTGCCGGGCACCGTAGGTCGGGGTCTGCCGACAAGATGGCTCCGCGCCACGGGGCCACACATCTCTAATTCTGGCCGTCGGTCAGTGCTTTTTCGTCGCTCTTTTTTTTCTCCCGCATGGGCAATTGGGCATGGCATCCATCGCCATCGCCGTGGCCTATGCAGTCAGTTCCAGATCAGCCAGAGCTGGGTTTGCCAGCAAAGAAATTCGAACAAGACCAGGCCGGACTGAGAACAGCACAAGACTTGAGTCGGTGCATCCCATCTCATCCCAATGCCACACACGCCAATCCGTCCTTCGTCTTTTCGTCGTCTCTTTCGCCTCTCGCTCTTTCGCCTGCTTTGCTTCTTACCTGCTGTTACGGCACCAACATCCGGTCATCCCATCTTGTTGCATCCCGTCCAGCGCCCAGTTTGGTTGACGAGAAAAGCACACAAAAACTCAAAATCCCCTCCTCTTTTTTTTCCTCCCCTGCCTCAAGTGGCGCATTGCACTTGCATATGGAGGGCGCTTGTTTATCCGATCCCCCAGAGGAAGAAGCGGCAACTGCAGCATCAGTCGAAGTCTCGTCTTCGTGCACCGACCGGTTTCCCATCCACTTCTCATACGCTTCCCCCCCGTCAGTCTGTCCTGACCTGATACCGAACTTGGTTCACTCCTCTCAATCTTTTTCCCGCTAGAATTTTCCATCACCGTTTGTTCGTTTCGTTTTCGTTGTTTCGTTGCTGCCGTCGTCTTGGCTCGACTCGAGCGCCGGTCTCCAACTGAATGACGTCGTTCCCCAAAGGGCCGACTCCGCTACTACTGCTGCTGCGCCTCAATCGACCCAAGACCCCTACAGCAAGCAGCTGCACCAGTCAGTCTACTGCGTCTGTCCTGCGTCGTTTCTGTGGTGCTTCCCAGTCCCAGTCCGGCCAGTAGTCAGTCCAGTCCAAGGTCCCAAGATCCAGTCGCTGCACCGCTTCTCCTCGCCGCCGCCGCCCTCCTCCTCCTCTTCCTGCCCCTCGGAGTAAATTTTCGCCCTCCGCACGCACGCTGCTTGGTGGTGGTGCTGCTGCTGCCCAGAGGTCCACGGGTTTCTTGGGTCGCAGTCGTGTCCGTCGTTCGCCCGTCGTTTGGGTTTTTGGGGTCGGGGCCCCCCTCTCTGTGCGACACTCTCTCTCACCTCCCGCCGGTGTCCGTCGACTAGAGTTTGCGTGCACTCTCACCACCTACCACCAAAAGAGCAGGCAATCAGCAACGCAACGAAACCCAATTCCTCCCGCACAATGGCCATCGGTTTGCTGAGTATTCCGAGGGAAATTCGGGACTTGATTCTCGACCAGGTCATATTCCTGCCCGACCGCGAGCCTCCGCAAAACCCCTCCGTCAGCCAGGGCCGGAAAAGGCGCGAGTACAAGGGTAAAGGTTTTTTTGATGGCCACGACATTTGGGTAGAGAAGCAGCAGCAACGCACACCACCCGCCGGCACGCCCAACACCGCTATCCTCCTCGTTAATCAACAATTGCACGATGAAGCCAAGTCCCTGCTTGCGTCAAAAGGAACCCATTACCGTTTGGACGTCATGTATGTCAAGGAATGTGGCTTGTGGCCGACTTGGCTTGCCGTGCCAAGAACGACCCGCCATGCCGACAGCGTAAACGTTCAGTTCCGCATTTTCGATCCGCCAAAGGATGTCGACCCCGACTGGAAGAACGAAGAGCAGTTCCGCGGCGGCGACGGCGGCCCGCCCTTTATCGTCTGGAATTTTTACGCCATGCTGTCTGGCTACCTGCGATACGGTCCGACCGCCTTTAGCAGTGTCGTCGCCGACCCGTCAAACTTCACCATCAAGAAGCTCGTGATAGACGTCGTCGCCCCACCCGCCAACGAGAAGCATGATCGCCTCGTACCGGGAGGCACACGTCGCGCCATCGACCTGTTTGAGGGCTTCACTCATATGGTCATGGACGCAGAGAAGCGCGAGAGGCGCGGGATCACTTGGCCCCGCCCGCCCGAGGGCAAAGAACACCTCATTCCGGCTGAGAAGCTGGCTTTCTTCATGTGCAGCCAGATTGGCGGCCTTCTCTCCATGTATCGTGACTGGGGCGAGTACGGCGCCGCCCTGTACGAGGGCATCGGCAGCATCCAGATCCGCGTCAACGGCGAGCTGCGCCGAGACTTCGATATGGACGAGATGCTTGCCAGGTTACCAATCCAGCCCATCACGGCGTGGAATGAAAAGGAACAACAAAAGAGACAGAGACGCTTCGACGAATGGAAGGCCCACGCAACTGCGATAAGACAAGGTTGGAAGAAAGCGTGATGGAGAGAAGAAAGTTGGGGCAATAATGACTTGATGAATTTTTGCTTTGGCCGTACTGGCCTCGGAGGGAGATGACATCCTCCCTCCATTGCATTGGGCGGCGATACCACCGGATAAAAGGGTCCTTTCTTGGGATGGTTTTCCTTTGGTGCATGGTACATGGGGACCAACGAGGTCGGATATGCGGACGGTCTCGGAGCGGGAGGGGTTCGGTACGGATACGGCGCCGGGGACTGAAAGCCGGGACTGCGGGACCGGGGTAATGATGCTCTTCCTATATTACCGAGATAGGCCTTCCACCGTGGCCCGGAGCCTGGCGATATCAGCGTGGCTTGCTTTGCAGCACCCGCCTACAACAATTTGCTTCCAAATACCACGAGATTGAGCATTTGCGACGACCTCTGTGAGCTGTGCTTCCCATGATGTCTTGGGGTGATTCGATCCCTCTGGGAGTTCCCATTTCTGAGTGGTGGTGTTGTAGACCTCCCCGTTGGTGCCATCCGGGTAGAGAATCAGGGCCGGTGCCTCGGCGACGATGCCGTCAGTGATGAGCTCCTGAACAGCCGACTCATAGCTCTTGACGAGAGACTCCAGCTTCCAGACCTTGGTGCAGTTGATGCCAATACCCCACGGGCGACATGCGGCGATCTCGGGGCTGAGCATGGCTGCCACAGCCTCCTTGATGGATGATCCGTCGGGCAGGCGCTCATCATCACCGGGGAACAGCGATGCGATCCAGAACGGGAGGGCAGAGTCGGTGGCCAGGACACCGGTCTTGTCCAGAGCTTGCCTGATGGCCTTGATCTCGTCGGCGCGGGGAATGGTCTCAATGGCAACGTAGCCGACCGGCGATGCGAAAGCGCCAGCGTTGTTGAAGAGGTGCAGGCGCTCAAGATGCCAGTCGCGCAACTTCTCAAGTGAGTCGTGATCCTCGTCATAGGCGCCGCTGTACTCTTGGCCAGGAATCATACATGCGCCGTAGGGACCAATACTGAGAGCGGTCTTGGCGCCGTTTGCGCGTCCCGCATCATGGGCGATGCGGACAGCGTCCTTGATAAAGTTGCCAATGGTGGCTCGGTCAATGCCATTGGGATGCTCGGGGGTGCGTGTATTGGCGAAACCATGGATGGACAGCTGGTAGGTGGCAGTGAGGATGATGTCTACGGGGACATCGCCAAAGTCCTTCTGACAAGCAAGCAGCGTATCCTGGCCGTCGACAAGCAGATGAGTAGACCAGAGAGGGGTGGTGGCCGAGTTAAACTTGAGGCCGTACTTGTCCTCGAGTGATGTGCCGAGCCCTCCGTCGAGGATAAGGACCCTGGATTCGGCCTCAGTCGCGTCGGCCATTTTTTTGCGATCCGCGTCGAAGTTTAAATAGAATGCGACTGACTGACTCTCTCTCTCTGTCTTGTCTAGGTACAGGTGTAAGTAACGTCGGAATCGGGCAAGGTAGGAAATAACAAATAAAATAACCTCGAAGAGACCCGGACTGATCTGGTCTGGTCTGGTCCGGGGAAGCAGCAGCAGAAGGGGTGTCGACGTCGTGTCTTGGGGCTTGGGGGATTTCTTGGGTCTTGGTCTTTCTTGAGAGGGACCTCGTCGGGGTCGGGGCTTGGAAGGGGGGGAGGCGGACGGGAAGCCTGGGCAGGGAGCGGGCTTGGAAGGGTTCCACCCTGGAGAAAAATTTGGGAAAGCATTACGACGACTCTGGCTGACTAACACGCTTTTTGGGCTGTTGCCAAGAACAACCGGCAGGAACTTCCGCGAAAGTGCAGCGATGCCTCCTTCCTGCCCTTCAGCTCTTGGCGCAGTCTGGTCTCGCATTCAAGCACACTGCAGTCACAGTCCAGTTGCGAATGGGGAAGGAGTACGTCACACAATACCTTCTGTAGGTATGGATGGATACCTTCCTCCCCAATGCCTCCCTTCCACCCTTTGTGCCTTCCTCGTAATATGTAGCCTCAACCATTAGGTCGTGTGGGAAGGTACTCCCATCTGTACCTACCACCTACCCAAAGATGCATCACGACTTCCATTGCTCTTTCTCTCTCATAAATGTCATTTACCTCACCTACTAGCAGCAGGCAGTAACGATGGGCCTTCTTTCAAATGCTTTGGAAGTACTGCTGCACCAACCAACGCACCTTCCTTCGGTCTCGGCATCCCTCGCAGGCGGCCTCTTCTTTTGCCAAGACCCGACCTGCGGCCATCCCATCAAAGGGGGGTGGAGGGGGCCTCAATTTCAATCACTTTCTCACACACAAAATGACACAGCTAACCTCATCAGAAAGCTTGCTTCAAATCAACCCCGTCGCCAGAAAAAAAAATATCACAATCAGGAAGCCCTCATGCTGTCTGTCCCTTTACCTACCTGCAAAATAAACTTCTGTCATCTCATGTTGGAGGGGCGGGAGAGGATTCTACCCCGCGTACTACGCAATACTAGCACAGGAAGCATTGCGCTACCGAGAAAGAGCTTTTCTCAGCTTTTCTTTAATACGGATATCAACTTCAAATTGATGCTTCTCCCTGTGTGTGATCCAGACGCGAGCTGGAGACACACTCTTACCAGTCACAACCTTGCCTCCAACGGCGGGGGATAAGCTTATTCATTGGATGTGCACGGCACGCGCGGCAGCTCCAGTCCCTCTAGAACAACACTAAATGCCCCTCTTCTGATGACGACGGGCACGGGGAATCGAGATCACTCCAGACTATGTGTCATGGCTTCATGCTATCGGTACATGTCGCGAATGACTCTTGCAAGCACAGCACCTCTCAAGCAGCCATCTCTGATAATCACATTCTTGTCGTGTTCCTCGTCATGACATCTGCTACCTTCCATTGCGAAACGTGGACACGGCACGGCGTCTTTCTCAACCAAATGGAGCGCATATCGCGCCAGCTTTCGGGAGTGCTTGCCGAATGGCCCACCTTCCCATCATTGCTAGACAAGTACCCGCGTATTTAGCTACCATGTTCCAACTCCACCAACTGAATTCCAGAGGATTCAATCCATCCCACATGAACCAACACGAACAATACTTTTCGCTGAGCCACAACTGTAGTAATCAACCCTTCTGGGGCGCTCGCGCTCCGCGGGCTCAGTTGCAGTCGCCTCAGCTTCCGACGCCGCGACGCGCCGAAAACAAGGGTCTCAGAGTCCGCCCGCCGCCCGCTGTGCGTGTCCAACGGGATCCGTACATGCACCGATGTAACATCGTTTAACTTTAACCGCCAGCGAAGCTGAAGAACCCCACCAAAATATTCGCGCTGGTCTTTGCTGGCTGGCGACGAATGATGAGCTTTTCGTCCACTTCTTGGCGGAACGTCATATTTCCGGCCTCGCTGGCTCCCGTCCCAGGACCCGCCGAAGAAGACATCTTCGGAGCCGGGCGGCGCACGGCGAAGCGTCCGGCGCCTCCGCCGAGCCGGGAGCTACTATAAAGTTTAGCGGAGCTTGTCAGCAGAAGGGCGCGCTGGGCGTCGGTGGGGCCATACTGGTTTCCCTCGGCGACGACTCACTGCCCCTGATGACGTTTTATCAAAAACAATTGTCTTCCAACGTTCAATCAATCCTGACTTTGCGTCGTCACGAGTGAAGCGTCAGCATTAGTTTTCAGAAGACGAACGAGCCATGTCGACAACCACAGCGACCGCAACAGCCTCCGCGTCAACGTCCGGCATCGAACTGACGCCTATCCCACCCCAAATCAACCAAAAATCACCCGGTGCAAGTGTCTCTCAAACGGACGATGATAGCAGCAATGATCCGGTTCTTCAAGCCTCGCGTCTTGCGGATTCCTCTGTGCCGGAAGGCGGCTACGGCTGGGTCGTGGTGACGGGCTGCTTCGTCATTGCGTGGTGGATCATTGGTACATCGTATTCCTGGGGTGTCATCCAAAGCGCTCTCGTCGACGATGGCCTCGCCACGCCCGCCGTGCTCTCTTTCGTCGGGTCGTTGGCAGCAGCCCTTATCTCGGCAATGGCCATCATCAACTCGCGCGTCATGCGTCGCTTCGGCCCTCGAAGGGTGGGTTTGCTGGGAATCGCACTGATTGGGCTGAGTGAGATTCTCAGCAGCTTTGCTGTCAAGAACGTCGGGGCGCTCTTTGCTACCAGTGGCTTTATGATGGGATTAGGTATGAGGTAAGGCTGCTTCCGGTCCCAACCAGACCATCGGTAATACTGACTCGTCTCCCAGCTTGTGTTTTTCGGTGAGTGGTACCCAGGTTGGTTATCAACCAAATCTGACATCAATAGATTGTCTCTACAATCCCCGCGCAATACTTCAGCCGAAAGCGTGGCCTGGCAAATGGCATCGTCTTCGCCGGTGGCGGCCTCGGCGGTGCTGTGAACAGCTTCGCCTTGGATGCACTCCTCAATCACCTCGGTCCGGCCTGGGCATACCGTGTTCTTGCTCTCGTCACCTTGGCTACCGGTCTTCCAGCTGCATGGATCATCAAGGAGCGGGTTCCAATCAGGAGCTCCGGATTCGTTGAGTGGTAGGTTTACAAAAGTCATTCTAAATGCTCTTACTAATACGGTTCCTAAGGCGCCTCTTCAAGTCCTTCACCTTTCTGGTCATCTTCCTTGCCGGAGCTGTGGGCACATTCCCTCTCTTCGTGCCACCATTCTTTCTGCCACTCTACTCGAAATCCATCGGCCTCTCATCCTCAACAGGAGCAGGCCTCGTTGCAGGCTTCAACTTCTCCTCGGCCATAGGCCGCATCTGTTGTGGCGTTCTTTGCGACCACTTCGGCGCCCTTAACGTGTTGTTTGCCTCACTGTTCTTGTCGGCCGTTAGCGTCCTCGCCATCTGGCCGGTTTCAACGACATTGGCGCCCATGATTTTGTTCGTCATTGTCAACGGCATCTCCAACGGTGGCTTCTTCTCGACCATGCCCACCGTCGTTGGTAATGTGTTCGGATCCGCCCGAGTATCGGTCGCGATGAGCATGATCGTGACCGGTTGGGCCGGCGGTTATCTCATGGTGAGTTTCTTCACATTCCGCAAATGAAGTTTTGCCTCAGCTTACCCAGTCGGACAGGGTGCGCCCATTGCTGGTTATCTACTCGAGGCGTATGGAGGTGAGGACAATGGACTACAAGCCTACCGTCCTGCCATGTTCTATGCCGGATCATTATCGCTTGCATCGGCCGGGCTGATTGCCATGGTGCGCTTCCGGATGAACAGAAAGATCTTGGCCAAGTTGTAATGGACTGAGATGAGTCGACAGAATCCCCCTCGCTCTTGCAATGTATCCATGAGGGACTGGTAAAAGTGAAAGACATGTATGATAAGATAGAATATGGCCTCCAGGGCGGTGGAACTGTGAGTCTGGAGACCGAAGACCGGCCGACGGTCTGTAGATCAAGGGAAGTTGCGTCGGTGTAACTGACGCCAATGAAGACTGACTAAAGTTCCCCCCATCTCAATTCACAAACTCCTACCTATGCTGGGCGTCAAGCTGTGAAAATGATTCAACTTTGATCGGCTTTCCCAAGTTTCCGTCTCACTGCAGCCCTACCCCCCACTCGATCCACCGTCGCATTGCATCCTCCGCGCCGCTGCTGCCTGGACGGCCCCACCTAGCGCTGCAGCTCCCCGATCAGCCCCGGACCCCCGCCGATAGCTGCGGAAGATGTCCCTGTTCAATGGATGGCCTTTTGAATGCAATTCAGCTTGGTCCATTGGTGCATGTCTGACTCACGCCGGCCTGATCCTCTCGATCTGCACGTGCCGACGCGGTGCATTCGCGCGCTCTCACTCAACTCGACACGGAGATTGCCATATCCGACGCGATCTCTCCCTAGCTGAACGCCTTTGACGCCATTGGGGTACATATTACCCCGCCGGTCTCCCTACCGTCCGACACAAATATCAACAATTCAACTGCTCGACTATCACGACCCTTCCATCATCCACAATCGATTGCTTAATCTCCTGAGCCTTTCTGTCCATCTTTGACGATAAGAACCGCAAACATGTCCATCGACCACGTCGGCCTGTACGTCCCCGCCAGCATCTACAAGGAGACTGTGCAATGGTACCTTACCGCTCTTGAGCCAATTGGCTTCAAGAAGTTCGTCGAGCCCAATGAGTACGCCTGCGGTCTCGGCATTCATTCTCCCGACTTCTGGATTGCGTCGCACAAGGCCGAAAAGGCCAATATCCCTCTTCACATCGGCTTCAAGGCAGAGAGTAAGTTTTCCACTCCGTAGTGTGTAGACTATGCGACTAATCTTCGATGGATACAGACCGCAAAGTTATCGACGAATTTCACAAGGCTGCGCTTGAAGCTGGCGGCAAAGATAATGGTGCTCCCGGTCTTCGTCCTCAATACCACCCGAACTACTACGGCGCTTTCGTGATCGATCCCGCAGGAAATAACGTTGAGGTTGTCTGCCACAAGCCGGAAGTCATTGACGAGTAAAGGGCAATTGATTCAAGATCTTAATGAAGAGCCATGACGAATAACGAAGCATGGGAACGACGAAAGGCGACCAATCTTGCGAAGAGAGATTCTTGTAACGCTTGTGGCAGAGAGCAAGGATGCAGACAAATCTGTTGTCTGTGGACCTGTCTCTTCAAGTGTCGTGAGATCACTACCGGATATTATCATTCAACGGTGCGAAGGTAGACGAATCTGGTAAATCTGAATGGTTTTCTGTCACGGAGCCAAATTAAGCTATCATTTCGGAGGCTGAAACTCGCAAAGTTGCATGCAAATACAGAGTTCGGTATTGTTGAGGACTTCAGAATAGCTCAGCCCACCCATGTGTTGATGACGTGAGAGTTCCGAGGGGTGAAGATGAGAAAGCATTCATCATACCGCGATCGGAACCCGTTTGCTTCGAAAGGTGTCATTGACTCCGGGGTTGTCTCAGGTGCAACTGTGATCCTGTACTCTCGCAAGACCGCTGCGAGAATCAGACGCATCTGGTAGATAGCCATGTTCCCACCCGGACAGCGTCGAGCGCCCACGCCAAAAGGTGCCGTAAGTCGTCGTCGCTCGGTGAGGTCCTCTTCCTCCAGCCAGCGTGTCGGGTCAAAGACGTCGTAATTAGGGAATAAGTCAGGTCTCTGTCGGCTCATTGACAGGGACTGGGTGGTAACAACTGTACCCTCAGGGATGTAGTAGCCGAGGATATCGATACCTCCCTTGGGAACAACTCGGCTTCCGGTCAGGGCTACAGGAGGTCGGAAGCGGAGGCCCTCGGTAACGCAGGCCCCGAGAAGCTTGAGGCTGTCAAGGTTGTCATTGTTGTGCTGGGTGTTGATCTCCTCGACTACGCTTTCTTGAAGGCTGGTGTTCTTTGCAAGCTCGTAGAAGATGAATGCCAGAGCGGACGAGGTGGTCTCGGTAGCAGCGAGGATCTGGCCTGCCATCTCGGCACTTATCTCGTCGTGAGACCAGTTGATTCCCTTCTCCTGCTTCTCCATGAGAAGCTGATACACAGTCGGAACTTCGTCGCGATCGACAGGATCAACCTTTTCGGCTTCCTTGCAAATTTGCGAGCCCAGTTCGAACAGCCTGTCGCTTGACTCGACGCGAAACTTTGGAAGAGCAATAGGAGTGAACTTCAGCCATTCGAAAAGCCAATTCGGCAGACACAAGCGCCAGACGACGAGAAAGTTGTATTCTCCGACAATATGAGGGAAGTCGCCTGGGTCGATCTTTGCTTGGGAACCGGCCATGACAACCTGGGAGTTGAGCAGAGTCGCAACACGGAGATGATATACAATGTCCTCGGACTTTTCGCCTTTCGACGTACCCAGATTGCGGACCATCCTGTTGACATTATCCTCAAAGATAGGATGCCAATACTTCATTGCCTTGGTTGTAGTAGCGACCATGACGGGCCGACGACGTTCGCGTGCGATGTTGTTCTGAGGGTACGTGACTGTCCACTCATGGCCTCCAATACGCAGAGCTCGGATGGCGCGGGGGGCAGTGTCGAGATCTTGTCTGGCGAAGACGGCTTGAAGAGATGGAGAATCATTGACGAGGACCATGTTGGGGCTGATGCGCACCACAGGACCATACTGCCTGAGGAGGTCGTCGGCGGTGAATGAAAGCTTGCCGTGCCATCGTTGCCAACGAATCCAGAGAGAGCTTGCTGCAGGAAACCAGGGGCCTGGAACTTTCTTAAGGGCGTGAAACTTGGAAGAGTACACCATCTTGCCAGCTTCCAGCAAGATGAAAAAGGCGAGGCATGCCAGCAAAGCATATAACGAGCCAAAGCTCGGCGAGATGATCAAAGTCTCAAGCATCTTGTTGAAACTAGTTGATAGGATGTTTGGCGAGCAAACGAGGGAATTTGAAAATGTTTCTCTTTCCTCTCTCCTCTATACAAATGCAGAGGGGGTTTTTGGGCTTTATGAAGTCTGGCCTCCTCCATCTTTGAGGCGACTATTACCGGGGTCAGAGCCAGACAGAAAGCAGCTAGAACGTATCAGATGTTGATTCTCGTAGAGTGCATTTTCCGAGATTGCAAGGTCCCCTCTTGCAGGGAGATGCTCGTTAGTTTCCCACCCCGCACGGGGTACCCCCGCCAATCCATCGTCCAGACTGCAATCTTTGGACGGATCCATGGATTCGCAGGCTGTCAGGAAAGCTTGTAGCGGAAACTGACAGAACTTTCCAAAGCGTCGGGTTGGAGGTAGTATTGTGCAGGCCACAGCGACGATGTCTGATCGTATTCTGACAAACAGACACCGAGGAGTATCACTGCGAGGCTCCTTGCCTCTCAGAAGGCGTCTTCAGTGTGGCTGCGTTTGTTATCGCCAGAGACGTGTGTGCCCACGAAGAAAGCTTAAATGCCATTGGAACTACCTTGCACCTAGCTCACATAGCGCGACAGCGACCCCACGAATTTCCATATTCTTACCAAACCCCGAGTGCTTTGCTTCCAAAGTCTTGAACCAATTTGAATAGAGTTTTCAGGGTGTTTGCAAGGCCTATCACGGCCATTCTTTTACACAATGCGCCGCGTAGGCTCGTTCGCGGATGTTTCGCGGAGCCTGTGAGTGGCTGGGGAGACTCGCTTCTGCAATACAACCTAAATAGGCAAGCGAGTTACGTCGCCAGCGAGTCAGAGTACTCAAAAGGACGCGCAACTCGATCGCTTGAATATACGCACTGTTTCCCAGTGTCACGGAAGGTAGAGTTCGAACCCGTAGAGATCAATATCTGCGTGATGATTGCAGCGGCAGGGTTTCAGGCATGGCAGGTCAGCTATTGATCTGTACGAGGAGAGTTGATGTAGCAGTTGACTCCGTGAAATGTTCATAATTCTGTCACGCCAGTTCACGGGGGCGAGCTTCTGAATAAACATGGATCTGCATGAGAATGTTTTACTCATATCCCGGCTGATAATCATAGAATTTGTTCTGTGGACCAATCGATGTCCAATACTAAGAACGCTCCCTTCTCGTCGTTTCTACTCAGGCCTTCTTCCAGGCTTTGTCAAGGATCTCCTTCACCTTCCATGCCTTGATCTCTGGGAAGAGCTCATTCAGAGTCTTCTTTCCGGACGGGGGAATATCAAAGGTGCCATTCTCAAACCACCATCCGAATGTTCCAGCGAGCGCCTGATACGCCTCCTTGGGAAAGAAGGGGTAAGCTGGGATCTGTCCAGGAAGCTCTGTCGTCTGGCCAGCCTTGAGCTTTTCGGCACTGTCGTAAGCGACGTTGAACTTTGTGCCTGTGTTTTGATCTGTCAGTGAACTCTGCAGCAATCCTTTACGATTGAAACACTTACCCTTGGCGTCTTCAGCAAGCTTCAGGAACTCATTCCAAGTTACCTTGTCTCCTACGATATAAAGATCGTTGTCCCACTTCTTCAAGTCCAGAGCAGCCGCCACAAATTTGGCGACGTCTCTCGTGTGAGTGAACGCCGAAGGAACATTTCCTGATCCGGGAATGGCTGCAGAGTCATTGGGAATATCGATAAAAAGAGTGAACGGTGTCATGTTCGACTTCTCTGCTTGAGGAGCCCAGTAATCGAGGAAGAAACCGTTATGAACGACAGCATACTCCAGGTCCTTCGTCTCGTTCTCCAAAAAGGCCCGAGCCTTGAGTTTGTTAGGGACTGATCCCAACTCTTTGGTTTGACTTTCTAAATGTTAGCAGCTGTCGTTGGTAACTATGAGGGGTTGAATCCAGACCTTTCGTTGTGGGGAATGCCCCAGCCGCTGGAAATTATTCTCTTAGTCGTTTTCGAAGCATCCGCGGCACGAATGAGCTCAATTTCCTGCGGCACTTGTCCCGGCGGAGGCATCATGTTGATTGCCGAGATGACGGTATGCACATTGTTGTCTTCGAGACTTTTAGTGGTGGCTTCGACATTTGCGTAATCAACAACGATTATGGAAGCTCCGACTTCCTTCTCCAAGTCGGGGTTGGCCTTGGCTTTTGTCAACATCTAATTCGCAACAAAGAGATTGAAACACTCAAAGATGTTTCTGCATGCTTACCTTTCTGGCCAGGATTTTAACTTCATGTTTACCAGCAGCAACAATGGCCTCGACGATAGTTCGTCCAACATTTCCTGTTCCACCGGCAACTGCGATAACAGCCATTTTGACGTTCTGGGATGAATTTCGAGAAATTGTGGATTGGCACAAAAGAGAATGAATCGACCGCTATTCTAGATGCTTTTTGCTGTGTTTAATCAACTGTGTTCATTCAGGCCTCGTCTGAGGGGTCTGTTGTCTAAATAGTCACACAGGTGCAGCTTCAAACTCAATGCAATTGATTCCGCTGGTCGGGCGGAGTCTTTTGCTTCAATGCCATCACCTAATCCGTAGTATTGAACGCGCTATCGCAATGCGACTGTCTTGGCAACTAACAACATGGTGAAAGTCCGCCAGCAATGCGTTCGGTAACAAAATGCTTCCGCCAATGCTCAAGCCGGCGGGCGGAGCAGACAGGGCAGGAAAGGAGCGCCATTCCACGTGGGATAGATTGATTTCGGGAAGTTCCTTCAGCGGCGCCGTTGCTAACTTACCTAAGGTGGTCATGACTCGGATCCAAATTGCTTCCGGTTCTTACGTGACCGGGCCAATCATGAAACTACTTCCTCTCAACGTCCCTCGAATGCTAACCTCCGTTAGGAGAGCCCTCGAATTTTGTCCAGTTCTGCTTCCGCCGACTTGTTGAGATTTCCAATTCGCGTAGCGGGCTTCCGGCATCTTTCCGCGTCCGAAAGCACAACGGACTCAGCACATCGCCGACGGGCCGGGAAAGTGGGTCCCTATCATCCGGCACATCGGACGCGTTCCCGTAACAGCTTTCGAAACTCGGAGAACGGCTTCAGGCAGTGGCGCTAGTAGTTTTCGGCCGTCATGGACACTGCATCTGTCCTGGAAAGCCGGGCACGAGACAAGGCTGCACGCATTGGACAGGTATGCGCCACTCTTTGTGATGACAGGCAGGCGTCTTATGTTATTTGTTCATATCGGCTGACCACCTGATATAAGGCCTGTCTAAGATGCCAGTCAAAGAAGATCAAGTGCGATGGAAAACAACCATCATGTACTCCATGCACAAATCGCAGTCATGATTGCCAGTATCAGCAGGTGCAAAGGCGGCGTGGCCCCGGCCGAAGGTACGTTGCAGCGTTGCTTCGGAGTTTCGAATTCGCCTACCTCGAGTAAGATGCTGACTGTGTTATTAGCAAAATGTACATCCAGGCTCTTGAGGAGCGTCTTTCCAAGATGGAAGCAGTCCTCAATCAAGCTGGATTGCCTCGGCCTGGCGCACCGCCCACCAGAGTATCGCCATCCGAGACTGATGCTGCCTCCGTCTCGGTGGCTCCCGCGCCACCTGGTTTCCCAAGCGCAACTGCGGCGCCTAGTCAAGCAGGCACATCGCGAGTAGATGCTTTGCAAACTTCCTTCAATCAAATGTCAACGGACCATGCGATGATTGACGGAACCGACCCAAATGATTCATCCGATCAACCTACGCCAAAACCAGCTGCAACTCAACATGTTCCCGACCCACCGAACCCGTTGGGACCAAAAATGCCAGTCTTCGCAGTCATTGCGAGCAGAATTAAGGAAGTTAACTCCGCGTCGTATTGCTCCACGTTCAACAGACAGGTTTTTACTCCACGTCTCGATCGAGAAGAGGCTATCACGATGCTGATGCCCCTTTATGACGACGTGATCAGCAACTACCCACTTCTCAACTTTCACTATTTTGTGAACCGATTTGAAACTGTTCCAAATTCAGAGGATTCGTTCAACAGTACTTCAGGCTGGGCGTATATGAACGCGGTCATTGCCGTTGGGACCCGGTGGAAGACGATCAATAGCGCGTTCCAGGAAGTATGCCAACTGGCATGGCCATTTTTGAAGAATGCTTTCTCAGTCCTCACGGAACTAATGGTCAAAGGCGACGATCTTCTGTCGGTTCAAGCCGTTGTGGCAATGGCTGTTTTTATGCAGGGGACGACGTGCTCAAGGACGGCAGCTCTACTTTCATCTGATGCGGTAAGATTATCGCAGAACATTGGACTTCATAGGCAGCCCTGCACCATGATGTCGATGTGTATGCAAGATGTGGAAGCACGCAGTCGAGTATTCTGGGCCGCATATATTCTTGACAAGGAAATGGGTCTCAATCACGGTCTGGACTCGATCCAGGATGATGATGACATTGAGACGGAATTACCGACAGGTTTGGGAGAGGGTGTAGACATTCTCAACTTGCGTGCCAAACTCGCCATGGTTGAATCCTCCATTAGACGGCGGCTTTACACTGCGAAAGGACTACGACTTAACGACGATGATGTGGTCAAGGCCATCATAGATCTTGATGCTCTGCTCGAAGAGTGGAGGTCCAGTCTGCCAGCAGATCTTCAGCCAACCTACGACTCCCCTAAATCCGGTCAAGACTTTGCTCCGGACGTTTTGAACTTACATCTGGCCTTTTACCGCTGCACACTTATGGTGCACTGGGCAGCGAGGCGACACAGCCAGTTCAAGACTGTGGCCGTTCTCTTGGGAACACCAGCAGGTTTCGAGATGCCCTACATTCAGCTTTCGTTCTCCCAGAAACGGTGCCGTACAGCTGCCCACGCGACCTTGGGCCTGTTCAGAACGATCTCAACACCGCAATACTCAGATCTCTGGTAGGACTCCGAATGTTACTCAAGGGGGACAAATCTCTGACATCAATCTCTTAGGCGAATCCTGTGCTATCCTCTTTGCGCAAGCATGACTCTTCTCACGGATGTACTGGAGAACCCTGGTTCCTCTCGCGCGCGCAGCGATCTCGGGGCCACAAGATCATTCGCTGGCTTCCTACAGAGATTTGAGAAGACAGAGGGGTGCGACTTGAAGCGCGTGCTGACCGCGTGTGCCATGCTGCAAAGGACAGTGCAATACGCAGTGGATGATGCTCAGAACACCATGCGTGCCCAAAATCTGGTGGGCGGCACTGGTGGCGGTATCTCATTGATACCGGGGTTTGCGTTGAGCGAAGACGCGCAGGTAAGACATCGCCCTGCAGTGAATACCGAGCACTATCTGATTCTGTTTCAGGCTTTACAGTCGCTACTCGGTGCAACAACCCACCCGATGTATCTGGTGCAAGGACTCATGGGAAATCTACCAAACCGAGACCAGAGTCTTACTGTAAGACTGGCTCACCTGCTCGGAACTCCCTTTGAAGGAGGCAAGCCAGGCAGCCCGCTTGGGTCTCAGCCGCTACAGCCGGAGACGTACGGCTTCGGCTTTGGGCAAGGGCAAGCTGGCAACGACCCGACAGCTAATTGGTCTTGAAATGAACGACATAATTGAAGGAATATTCGAAGGGCATCAAATGGGCTTAGGAGTCAACGTTATTCTGCCTCGGAAAATGGAGGCAATTTACAGGTTCGTCCGCGAGGGAGGCAGCCGCTCTTCGGCGCTGAGACATTCCTGCAGCATTAGCGCTGTTCCACGCAAGGGGATGAGTCGAACTGAGCTGTTCCAAATGAGGGCTGCCTGATGTCGAATAGGAAATGAGCCAAGCTGGAGTGAGCTTCATTTGGGTGTGCGGTGGATGTGTGCCACGCTCCTCTGCGGCAAAGTCGGCCTGGGCTACACAGACAGCCCAAGAAAATTGCGGGGTACCTCCGTACAAAAAAAGCAAGTGAACATAATGATATATAGACAAAATCTAATAGCAATCATGAACAAGATAAACAACAGTAGCAAAGCTAGGACGTTAGGTGTGAAGTCTAAAGCTTGGATCGACAGATCCAGTTGGGCATTTCGGTAGCGCTTGTTCCAGAGCTGTGTTACATTCCACCTCAGCCAAGTAAAGCCAAGATCTTCATATTAGCACCGATCTTCCCATGTCCTCACGCGAGCTATTCCGCCAAGTTCCGCGTTGCCGGTATCCGCCATTGCGCCCGGAGACAGGGGGTGGAAGTCTTTGCTTTACTGTTTCCGCCCCATCCCCATCGTCAATTAGTAGTCACTTGCAAGTCCAGTCCGGGACGAAGGATTTGGCTTGGGCAAGTATCACCGCCCTATCAGAGGCGAGATCCCAATCGCAAAGGCAATGTCTTCGCCCGGCTTAGCTGTCTTACGCCCAACTGCAGGGGAATAAGTCGGCTGGGCGCTCATGACCACCAAGTCGATGATGACCTTGTCGAAGGAGCGGGTTCGTGTAAGCGACGACACATGGCGAGATGTGGCCGTAAGCTCCAGATCTTTCTCTAAGACGATAGGGACGGCTCTTGGATCAATAAAGTTGAGCTGGTTCCGCCCGCGCGCCAGTCACCTGGATTGAATCCTGCGCAGCGCTCCTCCTTCGTTCTTTCCCCAATGGATTTATGCCAAGCCTAAGAAATTCCACAGATCTTAGGCGTCCTCTCATTATCATTCTTTTGTCCAACATCTGCTGCTAAGGGAATGGCGGTAGGGTTCACTCCTTGGGCTACAAAGCCGCGCTCGCCCGTGTACAGCAAGATCTACGCAGATGACCTTGAGGCACCTCCCTCTCCGGGGTTTCGGACGAGAAAGTCGTCGAGATGGCTTCATCGTTTGTCGCCAAAAGCCATGCTTGGGCTCGTAGCTTCTGTTTTCATATTCTCTTGTCTTGTGGTCACAGCTGTGAGTCAATGCTCCGGTTCTATCAACCTTAATCTTAGCTGACAACGCACGCAACAGAGTCATGAGAACATATCTGCCTCACAGCCTCCGTCGAACCACACTGGTGTAGCACCTATACCAGCCGTCCAAAAGGGTGGGCCCAGACGTCTCCGTGTTATAGTTCCAGCAGATGGGCCGGGGCCAGACCTCTGCAAGATGCTCATGTCGGCACTTGTGTCTGGATATCCTAGCCCTGTAATCGTCAACTGGGGAAGAGACTTTCACAAGTCGCCTGGGTGGTTTGGAGGCTCTCACTTGGGCAAGATCGACGGCACACTTGAGTTCCTCGATGCCATCACATCAGACCGGGCACCTAAGGACGAACGTCTTGGCCCAAATGACCTGATCCTCGTGGTCGACGCTTACGACCTTTGGTTTCAGCTGCCACCCTCCTTGCTCATCCGCAGGTACATGGCACAGAACTTCGCCGCAGAGGAGCGCATCCGCAAGGAGTGGGGCATCTCGGCTCCCTGGTTCTCGTCCAACAAGACGGAATTCGTCCCCAAGCAGTCAATCATCATCTCTACTCAGAAGAAGTGCTGGCCCAAGTCTGACCTTGGTTCCGATCCTCACTGTGATGAGCTACCGGAGTCGCCTGCGCGCGAAGATCTGTATGGCCCGCACACCGACGAGGATCCTGAGCAATTTCATGATGTTCGCCCGCGATACGTCAACAGTGGCAGCTTCATGGGTCCTGTTGGAGACATGCGTCGCTTGCTTCGTCGTGCTCAGGAGAAGGTTGAGGAGAAGCGCGCTGCAGGCATCAACATCTTTAGTGACCAAGGCATCTTTGCTGAGATGTTTGGCGAGCAAGAGATGTGGCGGGCTTCCAAACGGAGATACCACGCTTCCGGGAAGATCATCCAAGATGCCGAACTTGAGATTGAAGCCGATCATTTCGACTACGGTATCGGCCTTGACTACATCCAAGATCTATTCACTCCGACCGTCTTTGAAGAGGACGATGGCGAATACGTCATTTTGAGTAATACCACCGCACTTCAAAAAGCGGCTGAAGATCGAGTGATCATTCCTCCTCGAGTGTACGGCGTGCCCGAGGATATGCTGGGGATTCGCACGCCTTTGTCCGAGGCAGGAATAGACACTCAAGCGGACTGGGCAGACCTGCCTCTGTATACCGACTTTTGGAGCACTTCTGTCCCAGCCATTGTGCATCACAACGCACATCGCAATGGTCTCAAGGGTCAGAGGCTTTCTGGGTGGTGGAAAGAGACATGGTTCTTTCCGCATCTCCGGCGTCTACTGGAATTGCACTCTCAACCCAAGTCTCTAGAACCGCTCTTCAAGGTCTCCGGGCAGAACGGTGCTAAGGATCTCTCGTTCTGGGCCCCAGCATCGGATGCTACGAAGCGAAATACGCGCATCTTTGACAAAGAAAAGTTGAAGGATGAAGGGCTACCGGAATCCGATTGGGATGGCTTGTGCATCAAAGAAGGTCATGAAGATTGGTGGAGTGAGATCCTACAAGATGACGAAGGCCCTTTCCACGTCGGAGGTTCCTCGGCATCCGAATCATAGCGTCTTCGGAGATACAAGAGGTTGATGTCCTCAGACTTGGATCAAGGGTCTCTTTTGTGTGTTATAACATAGCTGCATTTCTACATATCTTGTACAATAAATACTCGACTGTCTTGTTGTGTGTCGACTCAATTTGTTATGCTGAGAACTTCGTCGCAAAAAATAGCACATTTTCTTCCACTTACAAACCATGAGTGTCGCTGACGTCATCCGTACTTATCCCTTGGCCTTGTCAGTGTTTTATTGCCGCCGAGTGTGCCAAAAACCTGCCTTCATCCAAAGACACATCCTCGCTATAACACTGCAATTGGTTGGGTCAGGTTAGCTGGTCTGACAGGTCGTCGCTTTTGTTTTGTTCCTTTCCGTCGTCGAATGAAGAAGTAATGCGGATTACTTCTAGGAGCATGAAAACTGTGAAACACCCTTCGGGAGACGTCTAAAAGACGATGAACCCCTCCGGTTTCTACTTTTCTTATTCAGTGCATTGATGCACATACTCATCTGTCGGGAAACATGTTGTAGCAAGATTTGCTTCACAATTTTGGTTTTTCTTATACTTATCGAAGTTACAATCAGGCATAAGATACATCAATCCCCGATTCCCTACGGCCTGACGGAAACATTTATCCCCAAGCCACAGGCGACGCTGGACCCGGTTCACGCATTTTACTTCTCTCTTATCGTCGCCTTATAGCTGTTTATCCGGGCCATGTTTGCCGGATTGCGTGGCATCCCCGATTGAGGACCACGGTGGATGATCGACGGCGGTGCATCGGCGATGGATTGCCCAGATCCTGGGCGGTATTCAACCAAGTCTTAACTGACAACACAGACTTGAGCTAGCCCGAGGGTGTCAGTAAGAAGAGAGGATCGTTTCATTCGAGAATGTAGCACCTGTCCTCATGTTCTTCTTTATACATAGACTTTGGCCATTAGGGCGGATACTTCTAGCTAGCCGGGCGGGGTGTTTTGAGGTACCTATTATTCCGTTTTTGTAGCTTTGGTATGTCACTATTTCAATCTCTAACCTTTTTAATCTTGTCCTTCTTCTTATTATTACTGTCTCTGTTGCCGTTCTGGGTCGATTGTGGAAATACACGCACACGTGCCTGGGTTCTATGTTCCTACGCACCTAAACGCCATTGTTCAGACAGCACATAGCACAGATTGTGAACCCTTCGCAGCCAGTTGATGTAATCCTGCGCTAAATATAAGTTCATACAAACATAGTATCGTAGTGTACCATGGGTCAACAATCCACTTGTGAGGGTTATGCGCAGTCACTTTATCCGCCGTGGCAAACGGCATTGGCCTAGAGCGTTGGGCACAACAGCAGCTACCCAGCAGAACTACAAGGGCTACATCACCAAGCCCTGAAAGCATTGATAACTCCTGCTCCAGATTTCGGTCCTGCGAGTTTATGTGTACGCGTGCCTCAGTACGCCAATGATTGCAGCGGTCTGAGCCCCGTGGCCCTTGTGCCTTGTGGTAGTACGGATGCAATGCATGATGACATCCTCAAGAGCCTTGCGTTCCAATAGAACGTTATCTTTCGAGGGTTTGCCTTGGAGATGCCGGACGTGTTAACTCGAACGATACGAGCATCGGAAGTCTTGGCTGCATGTGTGTGTTTTCCCCTGGCGCCAACCACCCCTACCCCGTTTTGAGGTTGGCATGCGTAGCTTTAATGCTCCAGTTGAATGGCAGCTGTCGCTGTGGAATACAGTTTGGTTTCAGGCACGAGAAGCCCTTCTGTTATATTCAAGTTGAGGGACGCTTTGCGCACTACCAGCTTCGAGCGACAGAAGAGCAATCAGAATTGCAATTCTTTCCTCTCGTTGAATCTCCGTATCAATAAAGCAGACAAGTTGACATTCAAACTTGCCGTTCCCTTCGCACAGCCTTGCGTCAATCTGATGATCTCAAAAGGAGCCAGCATACCAAACGAAACCCATCACGAGACCCTATCTGTGGATAACAAGGCTCTCATCCCAGAGGGGTTCGAATCCTCTTCCGAATCAGGTCGATTAAACCCACTTAACCTCGTGCAGCTCTTGGCCTTTTCCCATCCAGCAAAAGCGGTGGTGGGGGGCAGGAAGGGGATCGACAGGGAACACGAGGTGCTGGTATGCTATTTTGAGGCCATCTAGGCAGCAGCATTTAAGGCACTACCTTTCCCGCCGGAAGGATTCGACTGCCGGAACGGGCAACCAAAACGCCCTCGAACCACCAAAGAAGCAGCGGGCTGTACAGCATCGTCGAGCATTCCAACTGCCTCGTTCGCGAAACTTGATTGGTTGGCAGGGGAGTTCGTGAGTAGTGCCTTAACAACGATGCAGCGACACGCGTTCACCTACCCCATGTTTCACCGTGGGAACAACAACTCTGGATCAGACGTGATTGGAGGGACGGAGATGCCGTTCGGTTGGTTGTTGAGATAACAAGCCTCGCGACTCAAGAGTCTATTTGAATGCTCTGTTTCCCGCGTTGTCGAAGCCTCTTCAGACCATCAACAATCGCTACTCGCCCTCGACATCACATTCGTTTACACACACCCAAACAAACTCTAGTTGGAAGCACCCATGCACAAGACCGGTGCGTTCTCAATCTCCCTGTATATTCCATCTTCACACTAACACCATTTTCGTAGACATCATGGCCGACACCCAGAACCCCGAGGACCAAACCGGCATCCGGTCTCCCTTGCCTCTCTACCAACCCATCCGCACTCCCCCCTCGACAATCACCCACCATACCGGCGGCTGCAACGGCACCCACTGCCAGACGACCTATGTCCAGCCCTGCCACCACGGAGAGTCCGTCGGCGAAGGCTCCCGGTCTAACATGGTACCTCTGCCCATGTTGGGCCGATTCCCGGCTCTCGTCGAATGTCCCGGCTGCAAGGGCGTCGCTCCCACCACCACCGAGCACACCATTGGAAAGGGAACTCAGTAAGTATCTTTTTCTCTAGCTGTCTCTACAGCTGATAACATCATGTTGGCTAACATATAACCAGCTGGATGGCCGTCATGTTCTTCTGCACCACCGGCGTTGGCGTGTTCATCCCCTACTCCATGAAGCCCTTCAAGAACGTCCGCCACAACTGCATGCGCTGCGGACGTGTCCTCGCTACCAACCGATTCGGCGGCGGAACCAAGGCTCACTTGATGTAAATGATGCAATGACATTAGCTTTTGACCTCACCCTCATCAGATTGACTACGGGAAATATACGCGGCAACAATACGACCTAGTGCCTCTGGCAGGCATGTCGAGTTCTGGATACAGGACTCATAATCTCTTTTGTTTAGAAACGAATCAAACGGCAGATATATTAGTACTCTAAAAGCAAGCTTGCACCAACTTCAAGATCTAGCGATTGTGCTTTGCTTGCTGATGCTACAGCTCCTGGCTTTGGCTAAGCGTCTCTATGTGTAAGAGGTGTGGCATGGGCGGACTAGTAAAGTGTGCACATCAAATATGTCTTCACTGATGCCATGAAACCGACGAAGACATTACGGGCAAGACAAAGGCACATGCAAAGGCGGCAGCAGAAGATGAGGTCAAAGAGAAACAACAGAACGCTTCAATTTTAAAAGACTTTAGAGACCCTGTGGCTCATAATACTCCTTAAACCTATCAGATTGGTCCCATTCAACGGTCCAGATAAGCTCCCAACAGTCAATAAGCAGTCGAGGAAACCTTACGCCCCAAAACGAAAGATACCCATCCGGCAATGGGCCAACCGCCTTTTTCAACGAATCCGACATGTCCTCGTAATGGTTCTTCTTGTTGCGCAGGGCGCGCAACAGATCAAGCATCTTCGAACCCGTGTATTTACGTTGTTTGCCCAGAGAGTCGACAAACTCACGCGGTAACTGGCGGAGGAAATCACCCTTAGTGATTTCTGGCGCATATTCCTCCATCTTCTGCAACGGTCCGCTCGGGGGGTCTCTGGGCTCCTTCTCAAAAGAGTCGGATACATCGCAGAGAAATGCAAGACGTTTCTTGGCGGGCCAGAAGAAGGGATGAGCCAAGACTTCGCGGGCCGTTGGGCGTTCTTTGGGCTCCGCATTCAACATCCAGCCTATGAGATGCTTGGCTTCGGGAGCAACATCACCGAGCGAATCCAACGGCGAGAGGTTGAAGTTGCCCTTGCGAATATTGACCTCTCTCATGTAACGGTCGCCGCAGTCAAAGGGATGCAGACCGTTAGTCAGGACGTAGAAGAAAACCAAGCCCAAGCTGAAGATGTCGATGGAGCGGGTGGCGCGGCGTCCAGAAACCATGTCGGAGCCGACGAGAATCGAACCGGAGCCACTATTGATGCTGTCAACCATGGCGGTGTGGTTCGCATCGTCATCCAGCAACAATTCCGGGGCTCGCCAACCAGAGGTACCAGCAGCGCGACCGGTGGTTGCGCCAAACGACGACTGCCCACCTTCCAACTTCTTGCACAGACCAAAGTCGGAAACCAGAAGGCGGGGCTTGCCGTGCTTGTCGACGTTGACCAAAATGTTCTGGGGCTTCAGGTCGCGGTGAACGATGCGAAGCTGGTGCAAGTGGTTGATTCCGTTTGTGATTTGGTACAAAACACCGGGAATGTCGGCCTTGCCAGCTTGTGCCAGCTTTCCAAAGTGATGGGGCTTCTCGACGACATCAGCGAGGGATGCAGCGCATCGCTCAAGGGCAATGTACAAGAAACCGTCTCTGACTTGCTGAGCGTAGTAACGAATGACATTGGGATGGTCGTCACTTTCCCTCAGCAGCCTGGTTTCCTGGGAGGCGATATCGTAGAACTGAATCAACATGCGCTTCACAGCAACCTCACGTCCGTCAAACTTGCCAGCGAAGACAAGAGTACCGTTGCTGCCAGTGCCAAGCTGATTGTCGGTGTCGACCTCGATATTTCCCATACGAATGATCGGGCCGGAAACCGCTTGCATGTCGTTGGTGACTGTGACAACATCGGGCTCCAATTGGGTCACCTGGCCTCCCAGCTTCTTGGCCTTGTTGACGGCGTCTTCCACAGACTGTGGTGGGTCATCATCGCGGGACTGTGATGCTTCTTCCCGCTTTTTGCCCTTGCGGTGCTTAGTGCCACCGCGTCGACCGCGGTGAGCCGGCTTCTTCTTCTTGACTTCAGGGGTTCCAGGCTCGGGCGGTGTCAACGATTGGTCGCTGGGGGCGACGGCTGGCTTGGGGGTCGACGCCCCCGACCTGTCAGGTTGTGGGGGTGGTGCCTCACGGGCCGCGGCGGGTGCCTCGGCCTCGGCCTTGTCAATAGGGGCCTCTTCAGCCTTGGGTTCAGGGGCAGGCTCCTCGATCTTGGGTATGTTCTCCGCAGTCGCGGGCGGTACGACCTGGTCATGAACCGTGGGCTCTGGCGTCACGGTGTCACCGTTGTCCTCGGTGTCTGTCGTCTCCTCCCACTTGTACCATTTCGTTGTCTTGGCCTTGTACCAGCGACGCAAGTCCTTCTGGTAGAGGAACAAAAGAGAGGCGACGAGAAGGATGAAGATGGGGTTGGAGAAGAAGTCGATGAAGCTGTTGGACACCTGCTGCGGGATTTGCTTGACCTTGTTCACGATCGTCGTTTCAACAGGTTCATACTCTTCGTCTGGCTGAGGCGTTGGCACAGGCAGCGCCGAGTCGTTCTCGGGGTCCACGTCGATGACATCCTGCCGACCGGGCAGACTGGGGGTTTGGTAGATCTTGCCTTTGTGGACGGCATCCATGTTGTGGGTTCCAATCATGGCCCTGATTCGCTGGGTCTCGTTCATCTTCTCCCATGGGTGGCCGAGCTGGAGCCAGTCGGGCTCCGAAGTCTTGGCTGTGGGAGCCAGCACCATGAGAGGATATGAACGGCCTGAAAGGGCATACCAGTTTCCTGTTTCGGTCTGGTTTACAAAAATTCGCTGGTTTCTGACGCGAGCGATGGACTCGTCTTTAGCCGGTGGAACGGGCTGTGGGAGGACGATCAGGTCGGGGTTGCTCTCGGGAAGAACTCCCCACGGCCGACAGACATCAAAGACCTTGACCACCGGGGCGGGGAATTTCTCGCTGCAGAACAATCCCTCCTCGGGTCGGTCATGTTCAAAATTGTCTCGGCTGTAGTCGAGACCGTAAACTCGGCCATCGTGTCTGGTGGTATGATAACGATTGTCGATAGACTGATGGTATTGATTCAATAGGTCCCAGTCGTTTGTGTTGGGGGTCCAGTCGAAGTACTTGAGAGACGCAATCTGACGGCCGTCTTTCCGAGCGATGCCGACCTCGTACTCGGTGCGGCCGAGCGTGATTGTGCCTGTGGAGCTACACTCCTCGTTGTTTTGGTCGTACAACGCGTTAGGTCGCAGGCAGCTCTCGGCCTCGTTAACGTGCGAGCCGCCCGATCCGAACCACTTGAGTACTCTACCGGTGGCGGCGTCGAGGGTTATCATTGTCGTCTTCTTTGTGCCGGTGTAGACGATGGGCGGGTTGTCGAGGGCAGATGCGCCCTCGTCGACCATCTGCTTCATGGTCAAGCCGGTGGACAACAGCCTGGGCTCGCTGGCACCGGGGACCCAGTAGTAAATATCTCCGTCGCGGTTTGGCTCAATGGCCCAGACGTAGTGGTCGATGAAGTTGTAGTCGTCGTCGAGTTCGGACGCGTTGAGGCGGAAGTGTTTTGTTTCGACCATGGACTGGTCGACCTCGAGGTGCCAACGCTCGCGGGCAGTGAAGCGGTCGCTGGCATAGAGGTGTCCATCGACGGTCGCCAAGAGGACAAAGTCTTCTACTTCCCAGTCCTTCAGACTCCGCGCATGGTGCTGCGTAGAGATCCCGTTGGCCCCGGCAACACGGGACACAATGGGTCGATGTCCAGAAGGAGATGGTGCTCTCACGGACTGAGCCGGAGCCAAAGTTGCGACGGCGCTCGCATCGTTAGGAATGATTATAGATTCGGGGGTGTTCCGACGGTTGTTGAGTTGTTCTTTGGAAGACGTGACGGTCTTCTTGCGTCGTTGAGACACGGCAGCATTGTCGGCCTCAAGAGTGGCAGCCCAGTTGCGGGCTGCTTCGGGGTTTATGTCGTGTATGCCCTCATGTTGACTGCTCCCGGGGGCAGGCTGTTGGACTCTCGGGAGGGCGTCGATGGGCTGTTGTTGGGCATCGGCGAGGGGGATGCAGGAGATGACGAGGACTGCTAGAGCAAGCAGGTAGGTCCGCTGGTTGGCGCCGCGCCTCCCTTCACGAGGCGGGCGTCGCAGCATGGTCGATTTGTCGTGATGCGGGAGGGATTTACATCAACGCTTCCCAGTCGTTGTCGAGATGCAGGCGAGACATAGGAGCAGTGGTATAGGCGGTGGGAGCGGTGGCTATGGTCGTCGTGGAGGTGACGCTGGCGATGATGGTTCGAGGGCAGCGGAGGCCGTGGACCATGTGAAGGTGGGTTGGTTGGGCTAGCGAACTAAATCGGGCCCAGGCACAGGTACGGCGAATACAGACAGCAGACGCAGATGGGCCGCTGTGGGGTGGGATATGTATTCGGATGGATCAAAAGGTGATGCTGGCGATGAAAGAAATGCACCTTGAAGTGTCGGGGAGGGGAGGTTGAAGGTTGCAGAAGAGAGTGCGGGAGGGCGGGAAGGACCTGAGTCTGAGTCTGGGTGGAAGTGGTGGTTTCCTCGGAAAGAGGGAGGGTTTGAATGCTACTTGCTGGGTTACTGCCTCTTCTTTTTTTTTTGCGCCGGGCCTTGTCAGCTCTGTGGTTTTTTCGCCTTTTTTTGGCTGAAGCACAAGCCGCCCACAGTCAGTTCACTGTTCAACAGTCAGTCAGCCAGCCCCAAGCTGGATGGTAGGTAGGTAGGTACCTAGGTAAGGTACCTACCTACCTCAGCACGCACTGAGTGAGCAGAGCAGGTGAGGTGCCACAGGGTGGTTGCTGTCGACCGGGTGGTTTCTTGGTTGTTGTGGGCAAGTAGCTTTTGGCGGTGAAAAAGGCGGAAAGATACCTTGGTGGCACCCCAATAAGCGACTGGACTGGACTGGACGGCACGGCTGGGCTGGGTCTGCAGCTGGGCAGTTGCTGCTGCTGCCGCTGCTGGAGGCGTGGCTTTGCTCTGGCGTGTGGTGTGCCGTGTGGTGGAAGGCAAGGGAAGCAGTTAGCACTGGCGGGACTCGTACCACAC